TAGTAACCATCCCTCCTGCGCCCCTTTACCCTTGAGAGCTGTCTCCCATTGGACTTTGTTAACCAGACTTCTAAACAGCCCAAAGTCAGCTCTCCCAAAGTCCAGCTTAGCCGTTTTAGTGTTCCCCCTCCTAACTTCCCCTAGAATTGAGAATTCTATTATCTCGTGGTCACTATGCCCCAGGCGTCCTCCAACCTTAACATCTCTCACAAGACCCTCTCTGTTCACAAACAGCAGGTCTAGGGGAGCACCTTCTCTAGTCGGTTCACTGACCAGTTGTAATAGGAAGTTGTCCTCCACACTCTGCAGGAACCGCCTAGACTGTTTCCTGACTGCCATGTTATACTTCCAACAGACATCAGGTAGGTTAAAGTCACCCATAAGGACAAGGGCTAGTGAGCGCGAGACTTCCCCCAGTTGTTTAAAGAATAGCTCATCAGTCTCACTGTCCTGATAGGGTGGCCTGTAGCAGATTCCCACTACAATATCCGCCTTCATAGGCCCCCCTTTGATTTTCACCCACAGACATTCTACTAGGTCATCCCCAACATTTAACTCTAAACAGTTTAGATCTTCCCTTACATACAGGGCAACCCCACCACCCCTTCTACCTCTCCTATCCCTCCTGAAGAGCTTGTAGCCATCCATGGTAGCACTCCAGTTATACGAGTCATCCCACCATGTTTCAGTGATGCCAACTATGTCATAGTTTCCCCGGATAACAAGAGCTTCCAGTTCCTCTTGTTTATTGCCCATACTGCGTGCGTTCATATAGAAGCACGTAAGTTTCATGTTACGAAACACTGCTCTAGATGTCATTAGGTAGGCGTATTGCTCCAAATGAAGAATTGTTATAAATTAAACTGCAAGCAGTAAGATATTTTTTTTATTTGCTTTTCCATTTACTTTCTGGTTCTTTTAATGTGATTTAAAAAAGCTAATCAACTTGGACTTGTCATCTAATCCAAGTGTTTTCAATGCTAAAAGTCCAAAAACATTTGGGTCAAACAAACCCATCTTGCTGACAAGCCGCCACCAAGCCCAGAGCTCTCTACTCTATCATTGCCTGGTTTTACCTATATTTCTTCCAGGTAGGCTCACTGTCCTATCACATCTCTTTTTCTTCCCTCCACCTACTAGTAAAGGAGTAATTGTAACATGGTGATTCTAGAAATATTAGAAGTGCTTTCCTTTAACTTGCTGCAGAAGCTACCTACAATGTGTCTAAGAACACATTTTGGAAAGTAATACCATGTAGCCCCTTGTTAGGAGGATGAAGCTTTTTGCGGTTAAGGAAATATACTAAGCAGTCACAAAACGGAGCAGTAAGAGTCCTCTCGAGATTTAAAGCAGCAACACATGCTTATAGGAAGTCGTAAGAGAAAGATACTAACTTTTGTGGATAATCAGCTTCTCCAGCTTTCTCTTGGCAGCAGCTCTCTCCACAATCTTCTGGTCAATAGTATTTGCTGTCACAAGACGATAAACAACCACTGGTTTTGTCTGGCCAATTCTGTGACACCTGTCTTGGGCCTGCAAATCTGACTGGGGGTTCTGAGTAGATACAGAAACAAGTTAGCTACACCATTAACCTTTTTTTAAGAGACTACCACAGGCAGCATTTTCAGTAGTGAGCTCTGAGAGCCAGTGCAGAAGCAATAAGCAGGGCAGCCATGGTATAACAGAACTCTCCATCTCTTTACCCAAACTCGCCCATGACAAGCTCTGCTGCTGTAGCTGCACAGCCAGAGCAACCCAACTAGCTCGGACTGCTTCTGCAATATGTGCTGCAGTTTTCAACAGATGGACATGTTCTGTATCACAAATTTAGCTGAGGGTGTTAGTTGTAGGTTTGTGGGTTTTTTTGTTGGAAGATAAGAAAAGACATTTAAGAAGTTTTCAGCCATTTCTGAAGTTGCTTTAGCTCTCCTGAAGCTGAGTAGTCATGCCAACAGCAGAGCTGTCTATTAAAATAAAGCAAAGATGCAGAGGTCCTCAAATAATTTCCTTCCATACCTCTCTTCTTCCCAGCCTCACAGGAGCAGCAGGATTCTAGCTAGCTGAAATGCATGTGGCAAGTCACAAGAGGAAATTCAAGGGGCTGGTACTAACATGACAGCTGTTGGAAACAGGGAACTTGCAGAAGGTCCAGCTACATTCAAACTTAAATAATAAATCGAAAGAAGGGAACGTATCTTCAACAGTAATGGAAAAACTCCTGCTTTTGTTGTAACTCAGGGTCCAACAGGCTAGTTTTGGAAACCAACTCTAACGTTGTATTTGGTAAGCTGGGACTTTTCAAACAAGGCTGTATATTTCATATATAAAATGCTTGCATACACTATTATCTTCACGTAATACCTCATTAAAGTTACAGAAATGGTCTATACCATAATGGGTTAGTAAGTGATTATCAAAAGCAGCAATAGAGACAGCATTTTATGACATGTATCACCAGGTTAACAGTCTGTCAACATACCCAGTCACTATCGTATATGATAACTGTGTCTGCCGCAGTTAAGTTAATGCCCAAGCCTCCAGCTCTTGTACTCACTAAGAACAGGAAGACTTCAGGGTCAGTATTAAATTGATGCATCTGGAAGAGAATTTGTCTATTAAAAAACAGCAGATGGATCAAACTCAATGTAGCTTATGATTTATTTTGAGACACCTATGTTTAAAGATATGAACACAAATAAAATACAGCACACTGTCAGAGGCCAAACTAAGGCTTTAAGAAACACTGCATGCATTTGGGACAGGACAAGACCAAGTAGTGAAGCAGCTGTATTTTCTTATCTGATGATTCCAGTCAATGAGTTGTCTAACACATGACTATAATGAAGTATGATCCAAATCACATTCACCTCCACATAACTCACCATCCAGTGATGAGCAAGGTGAGCAAAGTCCAAGCTGGCAGAGGTTAAAAACGTATCTGCTTCTTGACACAAGCAACAATCTAAAATACTGATGCCAACTTGACTGTAACTTCCAGCCACCTTGTATACCTCCTCCTCTTACTTCAAAACTAAGAGTAACTTTCAGGCCTCCTACTCAGCATCTAGCCTACTTTCACTGCAAGATGTTTCCAAGTGTCAGCACACCTCCTATCACGTCTGCCATACCAGTGCAAACTTAGTCTACTTAGTCTGACCACCCACATCCTGGTAGAAAACTGGAAGTGTATGTTCATTTTCAGGACTTTGATCACAGCAGAGAAAAGGAAACCATCACCCCACTGCCAGGTGGAAGCAGCTACCCAAGCTCTCTAAAAGCCAAGTACCCTCTGGGATCTCCTGGACGTCAACATCTGCAGCATCAGCAGCAAATCATGGAACTGGGAAGAGCCTTGCTGAACATAAGACTGGTGACATGGAAGATTTCTCTCATCCTGCACCCATACCACACTGTGGTAGGAACACAATAAACTCCTAAAAACCCCTACAAGCCAGCAGTACAAAATTTTACCAGCTTAATAAAAGTCACTATAGCTTGCTGACACGTTGCTAGTTAGCCTTTCCTCTTTAAAAATGAGATCTAACAGTAGCAACCAAAGTCTTTAGGCGTTTGGTTTTCCTCAGCCACACTGTAGCACAGAAAAAAAATGAGGCAAAGGGAAGCACGATTTGATCTAGGTGATCTATCATCTGCCACTGTTTTTCTGTATCTTCACAAATACTAATGCATACTTTGGAGACCAGATAGCAATTGCAGCACACTCCTTAGATGCATCCTGTATAATTTCTCCATATATGCATTGCTCTTTTAAATCCCTGCAAACCCTCAGAGAGGTGGTTTTCCAGAACAGTATCTCCATATATGCATTGCTCTTTTAAATCCCTCAGAGAGGTGGTTTTCCAGAACCACCCTGCACAGCTGCTCTTCTTGATAAATATATGCCTCAGTAGTAAAGCATCCTGTGGTTATTTGAAACCATTACAAGTATGCAAGAACAAAGGATTGCATTGGAATGAATCCACGTGCAATTTCAGGCTGAAGTCACATGTGTCCCACTAGGTACAAAAACTCATTTCCTGGAAATCTACTTTATTTGGCATAAGACTTGCAGTACGCTCCCACAGATGGTGGCATCACATCCAGGATGCTAGGAAACAACACATGCAGGGATAAAACTGGGATTAGCATCTGCCACGATATAGATATATTACATACTTCACGTTTGGGCAACAGAGTACATGAGCACCCATCATTCTAGGCATACCCCAAGATGTTGGCTAGTAACATATTTCATTGCTTCAGTATTTCCAAGCTGCGGATATTAAAGCAGCAGCAAGGATGCCAGTTTTTAACATAGATGTTTTTAGCCTACTTAAGGCTAAATGCTGTGCAAAATCATATTCCAGTGTTGCGGGAACAAACAGAATTTGTTAACAGGCTCAAAGGGCATGTACATCTACTTACATTTTTTTCTCTCTCAGAGTAGGACATAGAGCCATCCAATCGACTAAATTTGAAGTCTCTCAGATAGCAGTAATCCATCAAAATGTCAAGCATCATAGTCATTTGTGAGAACAACAAGACCTACAAAACCAGGAAGATTCCTTGATATCATTTTCTAGTCATAAGGACACAAACTAAGGCCCACTCCCAAAATCATTAGTTTTACCTTATGACCTCTCTTTTTCAGTTCTGGAAGCATTCGGTCCAGGAGCAGAAACTTGCCTGAATTCTTCACTAGATCTTCATCAACCTTGGAACAGGGAGGAAAGGAATCACATATTAGGAGGGACCAATAATACCAAAGGTTTCCCGGACTCAGAAGCACCAACAAAAACTGTCTCATAGAAACAAGCTTGTATCACCTTTGTAAGTAAAAGCTGTAAGACTGGAAGCAACACTAATTTTAGCAAACTACATGGAATCAGCTAAATCATGATGAAACAAAAATCAAACCCCATCATTTCATGTGCCCAAATAATCAAAAAATAATAATAATTAAAAAAACCCCACACACCACAACACACAAACCAAAAAAACAAACCCCAAACTAATTCGCTTTCATCCCATTTCTGGAAGAAGAAACCCTGAAGATCTTTATTTTCCACAGGGAAAAGCGCTATTGTTTCTTTTTCAGCTTGTAAGGCTTCCACCTGCTGGATACAAGGAAGCACTGCTCAACATGTTACTACACATCGATCAAATGACAAAAGTTCATAGAACAAGTTTTCACGCTGCTACCTTAGGCCTCTCTTGTGCTCGAGAGTTTGTTAGATCTAATTCTTGCTACGGGCTACGAGCAGAGATATAGAAATTTCTCAAGTCTGAGCCACACAGCAGCCACCTTGGCAATTCCTAAGCCATTTTCCTGAGTAGGTTCTAGATCCTGCAAGTGGTGTCAACCGTCAAAGGGCCTGCATTTTCTACACATTTACTAATTTCCCCTCATCATCCAGACTGAGCCATCTGCTTTTCATGCACTGACTTTACATTGATAAACTTCAACAGCTTGCTCCTGAGTGCAGCTTAATCTGTTATCACTCACTGAACAGGAAACATGACTACACATGCCCACAAACCTACATTTAGAATGTGCAAGCAATTTCCAGTTGTTCCAAGATGCTTTCAATTCAAATTACTTCATACTTTCCTATATCGCCAACTGCTTTGTGTAGATTAAACTACCAGCTGGTCTTTGTGATATAATTTGGATTTTTCCCCTTTTGAGGAGGTGAAAGGGTGCTGTATTCTCTGAGCAGCCAACCCTTTTGTACTTGGTTCAGCCCTTCAACACCTCAAAAAGTTACCACCGCACCTCCTGCGGTGTGTACAATTTGTGTCATGAACATTTCACCAAGGTCAGTATTTTTTGTTTCGAAAATTAACCTTTGCAAAGAGAACGTGAGGCAGATCTTAAACCACTTTGAGTCAAAAGAATCCAGCTACTGTTTGAATTCAGTAACTTTGCCCCCAGCAGACGAGCGCTGCCATAATGAAGAACACTACAGCATCACTATGCAAAGGCTAAAGTGGCACAGAGGCTGAACTTGTCTCTGCAAGTGCTGCTGCAGGAAGCTTCAAATAATAATTCAGCACACTGTTGGAATTCAATGGGGAGGCACATGCCAAATACATCAAAAAGGTCATTCCTTACTGCCATCAGCTCACAATGTATTGCTTTTTAACGCCTGGAATAATTTTTCTCGTAATGCTTTTAAAATATGTACCTTGAACTGTTGTGTAGCAGGGTCCAATGGATATTCAATAAGATAGGGGTGATTACAACATTTCCTCAGTAACATCATAATATTCTGCAGTTTAAGGTTCACCTCTGAATCCATGGGAATGCTCACTTCTACCACTGGCCTGGAAAAGACAGATCATCTTATTAGTAGAGAAAGTGTCAACTTATGCTACAGATACTGAAGAGGAGAGAGAAAAAAAAAAAACACACACACAACACACTATCAAAACCAAAATCAAGCAATGGATCCACATGCTGTGTAAAACGTCCTCAAAATCCCTCATAGTTAGCAAAGCTATTACCAGACAAAACTTCTTTTAGTGCCATGCTCAACACCAAAGGCACAAGAGTTTGCCATTACTGGTATAAGATACAGAAGGGCAGTGAGTAATAATGAGAAGCAGAAAAAATCTTGTGCAAGTCACCCAGCAGAAAAAGGAACAGAAGCAAGCCCTCTCTAGAACAAATGGTGAGATCTCCTGAGGAACAATATATAAGCTATTCCAAGATCAGCTCTCTTCCTATCCCATTTCAGCCACATGTACACATTGTAGGATTCACAACAAATACAGCTATTTAGCTCTTCCACATCCAAGTACTGTCTCCGACATCAGGGATCCATGCACACCATAAAACTAATACAATTATACATCTAAGTGTCTGTTCTTGCAAGACACACGGAACTACAATAAAAATCTAGCAAAATAAATACATTTCAACCTGAAGATTAGCCTGGTTTTTCCTTATGCCCAAGGGACTTACAACCAATTCAGAGCCACCAATAGACCTTGCCAAACCCAGGAACGAACATGATTCCTCGGCTCCCTCAGTCCTGAACCTCAACTCTGATCTTAATCACCGGAAAGTGACCAATATCTGCCACCAAAACAGTAATAACCATCCTGGCTATCTGGGTTCGAGGCCTCAGCTTAAGCCTACCTATTTTACAAAATTTAGCAAGGAAACTACTCCTCTCTTTTCTCCAGTCCTGAGCCCAAACTTTGTTTCAAGCACTCCTGAGTAATTCCACAAAAACCTACGAGGTAACTGTAGTTAGCACGCTAGCATTACCCCTTGTCCCATCTTTGAACCAATAAAAGATATACCTGTGAACATAATTGGACATTGGAGACAAAAGGTTTACCTGAGCCTTGCAAAGCCTGCAAAACTTAGCAATAAGCCAAGCTCTTCAGCTCTTTGTCCTCACTGCTAGCTGTAGCCAGAACCTAAGCTATTACACTGAAATTTCAACTACCAAATCACTAAGATAAAGCAGTTCTTCCCTGGCTAGCACCCGACACCATCTTAGACCTTGAGGCTTTGGTGAAATCACAGCCCTCCACTACCAAAATGTTTAAACAGCCCAAAGGAATTACATTTCACACTAGGACATTTTAGCTCTTTATGGATTATCAATAGCACTATCATCATGGGACATAGCTAGTCACATATTGTGACTAATGAAAATAGGGACTCAAGAAGCAATTTTATTACTAAATCCTGCAAAAGACACAGGTCTATGAGTAAATGTCTTGTAGTTAACTACAACTCTAATGAGTCAGTGAGTGATAGTATAACCTAATCATTGCTATCATGGCCCAGCAAAAACAAGGTAAAAGCAAAGAAACCAATCAAAGCTACAAGGATAGTGAATTACGAAATGCCATTCTTCTTGATCAACTTAATAAGCAAAGCTCTGGAAGCAAACTAAGAGGGAGATATTCAGTATAATAAAAAAAAAAAAAAAATATGTCTTTTAGGGCAGGCACCTCTCTTTTTCTACTTCCTCTTGCATTTTGCTGATCAATTTTTCCAAGTCATCAGGTGAACCAATATGTTCTTCACAATAATCAATCAGTTTTCGACTACGGCGTTTTGGTCGGCCTGTAGGACTCAACTCAACTACTTCTTCCTGTGGAAAACGATAACATTGCCATCAACAGGAGACAGCTTCAGATTCAAAGGCCTACGCTGACCTAAGAACTCTCAATACTAAAAAGAGGTCTCAGCAACATGCCTCACGCAATACTTAGACTCAGCAGCTGTACGTTTTTCTAAGTAGAAAATGCAGCCCAAGTTTTAAAGGTCTATAATTGTAGATTTTGAAAGCTTCTGCTTGAATTTTAAAAAATGCATTAGTACTTTATTGATTTTACAACAGAAACTGTCAACTCTATATAAACTGTCTTTTTTCCCCCAAGCTACAAGTAATCGAGAACATATTTACACTCGTATCATATTAGTTCTGTGCCCTCTGAGGCCAGCCACAGTAACCACCACTGAAATACATAAGAGGATCAGACTAAAAATCTAAGAAAAAAATGGGTTTAGTTACAATGGTAATGAAGCAATACCAATACGATTTTGCCTACAAACCATTAATAGCAAGCACATTTCTAACATCTTTATCAGTAGATACCTCATTATTTCCAAGCAGTTTCCTAATGGTGCGATTTACAATAGCAGTATAGAAAGTTTCTTGCTTCTTTGCCAGCGGTGCATATACCACAACTTCTCGTTTAGGAGGAACCTCAAGAGCAACATCAGATTTCAGTCTTCTCAGTAAGAAAGGTGTCAGAATCTGAAGTATTGAGCAGATGTGCTACAATTACTAAAAGCTTTCAACATGGCTAGCTTAAAAAAAACCAAACACACACACCCCCCACTATGTAAACGGGTCTACTGATACAGTGCTATTTTGACAATGTAAAGCCAGGTAGTCAATTTAGAGTTTCATATTTCATTTTTTAATATAGATGCTTACTCCAAAACTTTTACACACATGCTTGTGGTAATACATGTGTTCAAATACATACATTGGCATTTGTAAAATTTTGAAGTGTTTAATAAGGGTGCAGTAGTAACTACATTACTGACCTTTTGAATAATTCTCATTAAGTAAAAGTAATTTTATTATGAAACAGTTCATTTTTATTATATTTCTTAAATCAAATTATTCTGGGAAAGCCCCAAACTTTTAACTGAAATAAATAATAAATTGTCATAGACAATTCTATCAAGAAGATACAATTCGTATCTCTCACCATCAGCTTATGATGGGAAAATGAGAGTCCTGTAAGCATTTACTTCCACACCACCCCTTAAAAAAATGGTTTTGAGTGTTAGTTTGGTTCTGAAGACAGGCACATTATACAACTAGTTTGTCAAAAGGTATTCTGTTCAACACCTAAAAGTTACATAAATTCCCTCAAAGTTATCTGTCAACAAAATAAATATACCAATTAAATCTTTTGGCAAACACAAGCAAGCAACTGCAATTAAGTTCAACTAAACTCAATTCAGTTCCAAGAGTAAAAATGAGTCATTATCGAAGAGGTATATTGTTCCTTTCAGCATTTATAAGAGTTGTAAAGACTGAAAAAAAAAACCCAAAACAAACAAACAAAAAAACCACAAAAAAACCCAAAACAAAACAAAAAACCCAACAAACCAACAACAAACCCACAAGTCTAAGGAAGTCCAGAAGTGTCACAATAAAAGCATCAAGCCCAGAATTCAGCTCCACAAGAAGATTTTGACACACTTTATAATAATGGTCAATGTTAGAAATAAAACATGAAAAAAATAACAAAGAAAAAGTGAAAACCTGATGCAGCATATGCAAGATGTTTTGCTCTCTTTCTTTAGCAATAATATCTTCGGCAGTTTCTGTAATGCTGGTAATATCAAACCAGGATTCAAAGCTATAAAAACAAAGAAAGAAAAAAAAAAAAAAAGCTTAGTTCACAGCTATTATTCTTCATTATTTAAGTATACTATTCTTCTCTTATCCTGCAATTTAAGTAAAACAAAGCACTAATATCCATCATCAATAGTGAGTGAACAGGAGGTACTTCTGAAATATACCTGTCAATTCAGATGCTTGAGGTTTTAAGTGATTGGTAAAAATACTCGTATTAGTTGGAATATTCACTGTGATCTACTATATTCAATCTAGTCTACATCTTTTTCCAAAATTAGTCCAAAGACTGTTTTGGCAACGTTCTTCCACCTGACCCTCTGCTGCTTCAGAAAAGGATGTCTGTCTCCCATGGGTCCCATGTCTGTCAGCCTCACACAGCTTTCTCCAGCACATTACAGAGTCTCAAGTAGCACCAGGCACTTACTAGGAAAACATCTCTCCCTGCAGATGCTCATATTTTAGCTCACAGTGGAGCTTCCACTATCCATAGAGCTGACAATTGCTTCCTTACTTTCTGAAACAACTAAGAATGAAGGCAAGACACATTTCAAAGCCTTTACCACCAAACAATCATACCAAATTACAACCATACCATAAAACAGCTCTTCACATGCTGATACAAGTTTAACAGTTAAAGAGTCACGATAATGCCCGAACAGAACAAGGGGGAATAGTTTTCACCATCAGATTGCAACCTACCTTTTCAAATCATCAAACACATCTGGCAACAGGAAATTCAGCAACGACCAAAGCTCTGCCAAGTTGTTTTGCAGGGGAGTACCAGTCAACAGGAGTTTATTGTCTGCATTAAATCGTTTCAATTCTCTGATAAGGCGGCAGTTCATATTTTTAATCCTGTGACCTTCATCTACTATCAGATATTTCCAGAAGCAGTGCTACAAAAAAAAAAAAGGATATTTCAGTAAATCTTAGCCTTACTCCATCAAAACACATGCCAAATGAGATAAGCAGCACTAATAAGACTGATACGGCCCGTTACAAAGATTTTATTTACTGTTGTTTCTCACTTCGCCAGGTTAGAAGAGCCGAGTCCAAACATTTAACACCATACATCTGCTTCATGGTTGACTGCATTTAGAAAGCTTAGGTGACTACAATAAAACTTCTACAAGAAACTCATCTCACTGAAACAACCATTCTGATGTTAACCATGATATTTATACACTAAGTATAGCTTTTACTCCAAGACTCCCTCACCATCAGCTACTGAGAGGTAATGAAACAAGCAAGTATGCTGTAACTATTTGCTTACTTCATTTTTTGAGTAGCATTCTGTTTGAAGAACTTCTTAAGCATAAAATTCCAGAGCCACTGCTACCAAGAAAACAGAAGTGAATCTCAATATAAATGCTACAGTATGACACTCGTACAGGCAGCATGTGGGCTTTTTTTTTTTTACCATATTCAAAAGCATTGCTATTAGTGATGAGGCATTCCACCCATCCCAGGACTTTCAGGAGAACTTAGATACCTGCAGGGCATTTCTGTCTCGCATTGCTATTTCAAAGGAAGTAATGACCACAGGATGGATTTGCAGTGATCCTTGTCGTCCATGAATTTTACGAACGAGCTTACGACGTCCCTGCTGAGCTCCATGATAGAGCAGTAGTGGAATCTGAAAAAAAAAGAGGTTTAGAATTCAGGTGAACTAAGCTCATTTAATGGAATCTGAAAAAAAAAGAGGTTTAGAATTCAGGTGAACTAAGCTCATTTAATGGAATCTGAAAAAAAAAGAGGTTTAGAATTCAGGTGAACTAAGCTCATTTAAACCTAAACAGAAGACAGTAGAGATAATTAGCTCTGTTACAAGAAGGCTGTAAACACACAGCAAGTCATGGCACAGTGTGTAGTAACCACATAAACAACTACAATTAAACTGATGTTCTATATAGAGAAAGTTTCAAGGCAAAGAAGTAGAGTAAGAATTAAATATTTTTTTCTTTTAAATCTAAGGAAGAAAAAGATAAACCTTTGTTTCTTTTACCTCTGGAGTAAATCTCTTGAATTCAGACATCCAATTTGGAAGAGTAGATAAAGGACCACACACTAAGAATGGACCAGGGACTCCTCGCTCCACCATCAGTGCTATTGTTGCAATACACTGGATCGTCTTCCCCAATCCCATTTCATCAGCTAAAATGCCATTGATACCATTTTCCCAAAGCATCTGCATATACAGGAGGAAAAAAAAAAAAAAAAATGCAAAATAGCTAACACACCTTAAGAATGGCTATCTTTAGAAATGTAACACCTGTAGAAACTACTAGGCACATTTTATATTACAGATGAGTAAGATTTCTCCACGACGAAAATATATACAAGCATCTTGTAAACCCCAGACAATTGTATGCAGGTGTATGTGCTTCTAGCCAATAAAGTGCCTGACTAGGAGGCAAAAACCAGAACAGTATTAAAGGAAAGGACGTAAATTAGTGTTATATCAAAAAGCACTTCAACTGCAAGTACAGCTCAACTATCCAAATTTTTACTCATCCCAGCTCCAAAGAATTACCTTAGCTCCTCCCTCTAAAAGACCAAGTTATTGTGCCGATATTTCAGCATTATCTGTTCAAGTAGCTTCTACAGGAATAGCTACTTCACCATAGGAAAAAGGTGCAATTCCTGATCAGCACAGCCAGCTGCTCCAGCAAAAGTTCAGTTCTTTGTGCAGACACTGCCTATTCTGACAAGTGACAGAGCAACCTCTCACAAAAGAAGAGAAAGACAGACACAAGAGTGTTCTTTAGCTACTCTATCTACTATTCATAAAGATTCATAAAGAAGGTTATTATAACTGAGGGCTCAAGGAAGCTGTTTTTTCCCCTCCCAGAACAGGCCTGCCTTCCCTATGCACTTCCCAGTGACAGAACAGAGTGAGTTTAGTGGCACTCACTTGTGAGATTGGCCTAAACCTGTTACAACAAGATAAATATGCTCGTGAGAAAAAATAAGGGAAATATGAGATCAGTAGCACAATGACAATGTTTGGTCTGGCTCTGATATTTAAAAAGCAAAGTCATTCTAATTTGGCTTGCAAGCAAAAATGGGTAGAAATTAAACATGTACGTGGACCATTTTTACAGCAAATTTCTTTAGTTTTTTATTTCAAAGGCCAAAGATGAAACATTTTTAAAACACTGTATTAATATTACTAGTTAGATTCCAAGATGCAAAGATCATAAAACTCATCTGTGTCAGGCCTGCAAGGTAGTGGGTCTTTAAACTGGTTTTGACTGGGACAGTTAGTTTTTCTTTTTAGCAGCTAGAAGAGTTCTGTGTTTTGGATTTAGTACGGGATGCATTATGAGAAGAACGTTCATAGTGCACTGAATGTTTATAGTTGGTACTGAGACAGCAAGGACCTAACAGCTTCTCCTATTTTGCCAGTGTGCAGGAGCACAACGGGCTGGGGGGGAGGTGGGGAGCACAGCTGGAACAAACGGTTCGCAACTCCTCTTATGATTCGGACTTCAGATTGAGGGCCAAATTGGCCAATGAAATATTCCATATCACACAACGTTAAGCCCAGTATATAGATGAGTGTTGACCAGGAAGGAAAGGTCTTGCTCTTCCAGAAACTCTGTTCCAAGGACTCTCTCTCTCTCTTTTTCTCCAGGCCTCTCACTCATCTGGGATTGTGGTGTCAGGACTTATCTGTTTTGGGATCACTTGCTGGGACAGGACAGGCATTGATCATCAAGTGGTGAGCAATTATACTGTGCATCACTTGCTTGTATATATTATTATACACATATATTCATATATAATTATAATAATAAAAATTGTTCTTATCTCAACCCACGAGTCTCCTTCTCTTTTCCCCTTAAATTCTCTTCCCCATTCCCCAGGGGTGGGGGAGGCTGAGCAAGTGGCTGTGTGGCATTGTTGCCAGCTGGGCTAAACTACGACAATAGGACAGGTATTCGAGCCATTGAGAGAGAAAAATAGTAAGACTGTCCCTTAGCAGTGTGCATAGTCCTTCTGCTTTCACAAAGTATTTGTAAGGAGAGCCTGAAAAGACAGTTGAGTTGAACAAGAAAATACATGGAGAAAGGGAAGACAGACACACAACTAGAAAGCCTAACAAAATGTTTACAAACACAAATATCATCCCCACACTGAAACAGTCATCTGCTGCTTGACAATTTTGTCATAACACCAGATTCTTGTATCATGAGAAATCATAAAAGAATCATGTCTCACTTCTTCACCTTCCCTGTACCAACTATGATAATCAACTTCTCATGTCTCTTCTCCTCCATTTCTGTTTCCAATCAGCAATAGGCTTAATTGCATCAACAATCACTCCATACCCTTAGCCATTCCATGCCTTCCACTTGGTACCATCTCATTACACCTCCAGTAAAAATCTTTGGCTGCTGAAAAGGCACTGGTTGTCCATTAAATTTCCGTACTGGATCAAGGAATTGCTTGGCACTGTGTCGTACAGCTTGACACAATCTATCCTTAATGACACTATTTGAGTCTCCATTTTTCTGCAGGTCTTCTGGACACAGATTGTCAGAAGAGTTTTCATCCTATAGAGGGAAGTTCAAGGAACACGTGTCAAGTGGAATACACATCAAAGCCCAGCTAAGATATATTTTTGCCCAATTTACACCAGTCTTAACGTACAGTGAAGTAAGCCAGACCCTGACACAGAATCAGTTATTTTGAGCAACTGTCAACTCAAGAGTAGAATTTATTTTTAGGATTTATATTACTACGCAATTAACTGCAATAACATGTGCCAACATACCTGATTTTCCAGTTTACTTTTTTTTGCCACTGATAATATTTCCTGGAAAAAAAAAAAAGAAAAAACTTGCTTATATGCTTTTCAACCTTAAAGGCTACAATTTGTATTTCATGAGATCTTTTAATTGAAGAATCTGGACATACTTTAAAAAGTTTTCCATACAACATTATTAATCATACAAGTGACTCTAAACAAGGCCACCCACCAGAGAACACATTCGAATTACAAAGGGTAACGGGAAATTCAACTGACTATGTAGTTTCCTCACAGCTTGCTCCCCCAAAGACTTTTTTAAATAAAATTAAAAAAAAAAGCATCCAAATTCTACAGGTCTGACAACACTGCTTGTTACCTAGATCTTTGCTGGAAGAAAGTCATACGTTCCACACAGACTACTGTGGGCTGTTGGTTGATAATCTCTGATGGCAATGTATGAGAACATATTGCTCTAAAATACAGATGTCACACAGCGAGTGCCTCACCAGTTAAAATTTGTGCAGCAAAAATCCAGACAAGCCTATTTATAGTTATGGCCTACCTCTTTGGACATAATTTCTGAGATGTTGTATGTCCCGTCTTCTCTCCCTCTCTTCTTTTTTGCACCTATAAGATAACATTTGAGTTTATACAACACATCAAAGAAACTAAAACCACCAGTACTGAAAAAAGGCAAAGCCTAATACATTACCTGATTTCTCCTCTTTGCCATCAACTGGATTCTGACCCTAGCAAATAAGCATAGGAAGAGGTTCAGCATCTTATGCATCTCAAACTACCATGACATAGATAAAAAGATGTAATCAGTCTCAAACCATTGCCTTTGAAAGCTTCTTGAGACACTTTTACTATTAAACAGTTTTTAAAAATACAGAAAAAAAAAGTTCCTGCTTTTTTTTTTATTATTACTTATTCAGCATCTTGGCTGATTAAACAATCATTGCTAAACCAAAAAACCTCCTCAATACAAATTCAAACCATTTTCTTTAGTATAAATTAGTCAGAAACATCTCCTTAAGGTGACTGCCATGGTATGCAATTTTTAAGCACTTTATATAGTCTTATTATGGTTAAAATAAATACCGTATACTGCAAAGATCCTGTAGGTAAAATATTGGCTAATCTAACTTACTTAGTTTACCTGCCTTGATCAAAATTGACACCGTGATTGGTCAGACTTCTATTCAGAAATTTGCATAAAATAGCTAGTTCATCTTACCTTGGTAGATTTTAACATCATCTCTCTCTTTTTTTCCAACTTTTCCTTCCGTCTCTGTTCCTAAAAAAAACCCAAAAAAACACATTTCTTATCTTTCAGTAACACCCAACAAGAGAACTATACATTCTAGAAGTGATAACAGGCATAGATTACATTGGTAATTTAGAGTTCTATGTACTCTACAGATTTTGTTTCTGCAATCTCACTAAAAGCCTCTATTCTGACATAGTTTAAAATGATAAAGCAAAATTTGGGCTAGAAAGTGCAACTGCTCCAAACTACTTTTCAGTGAAAACTTAACATACTTAAATACAGTAATTTAGAGTCAACAAAAACACTCCCAATTGCAAATTCCTTAAGACTACATCTATTGCAGCAGGTTTTCCATGTATGCAGCTCCCCTTTAACTTTTACATGTTACCACTTGCGTTCATTACAGAACAGAAAGCAATGTAAGTATGCTACAATGCCTTTAAGGATGAAGTGCTTTCATGTCTTGAAGAATTTAAGATTTTAATTCCAGCTACTATTTTTACTTGCTGAAAGTAAAACGACCCTGGAAAAACAGGTAAGACATCTTGGTATTTATCAGATTGAGCAAGACTTGGTACTGAAACATGCATTCTATCAATGCAGTAATTCAAACTGACAGCTAAACTATTAAAGTATTTCAGAAAGAAGGTTCCTGCAATCTGTCAGTGTCACTTCTCTGAGAAAGTTGTTGCCCTGAATCTTTTCCCAAGATTCTCCCTCTCTCTCAAATGTAAACTCTTACAAGCTTGTCCATAAAGGTAGAGTTAAGATAGTCAAGATGAAGCTAGATATGGACTCAGCAGCCCATGGATTTGAAGGAAAAAAAAAAAATTAACTCCTTTTTTGGAAGCTCTTGTTTGGGAACAGCATGGCCTCAAATCACTAATTCATAAATTTGTTTGAGGGAGGCCTACGTTCAGATCCTGAAAACACACTTCATCCTCAGCCTTCAGTAATTGCACACAAATAGGCTGCACAACTTCCTACTTGTCAATTCTTTACATCTTCTGTCCTCTCTCCCAAGTTTTCTAGCTCCCATAAACTTTGTTTCTTATTTCAAATACTTATTTTCTCTTCCTAGCACTCAGGGCAACAGAAGAATCGTAAAGATATCAGTGCCACCTTTACACTGTGATTTTAAATTATAATTCATGCTCTTTCCAGTCTGATTTATCTATTAATTTGTAGAACCCATTCTGAATATTATGTAAAGCACCACTTCATTCCTGGGCAGTAGTTCCAGTAGATTTTCATGTTGTTATTATTATTGTAATCTCAACAGCATTTTTACTTCAGTTCAAACAGATGGATGGCAAGAAAAACCCCAAACCCAAACAGGTGGCATCCCATCTTAAGACTTCCCAATGCAGACAAGAATACACCTACCTCCAGTTGCTGCTGTTCCATTTTGGTTAGCAAAAATTTGGAATAGATGTTGCTTTTTTCAAGCAAATGTTGAAGCCTCTTATAGCGCATTTCACTTGACTCTCTATCCCAAGAAGTGCGAGCCTGGCCAACACAAAGACATGTCAAATATTTATAGATGCTTTGTCAAGTATTTATAGATGCTTCAGAGTTAACGTTTTCAATATAATGCAGGGTTCTTATAAGGGATAACCACAACTGTGTCACACACACACACCACCTCTCACTTTAAGTCATTATACATCTATGATTCGTAAGCGTATGGACTCACATGTAGCTGTGAACTGCTGCAAGATGAAAGTAACTGAGGATTGCATTCGCTTGCACATGTACACAGAGCTCTGTAACACATGTGCTTTCAGGGCAGTAGCACAAGGCATTCAAGGGCTCAAAGGTGTCTCAACTCCAATTCATAGATTTAGAGCAAAATGAAATTTAAGTTAAGCCTGCAAAATTTGGGAAGGGAAAAAACCCAACAAACCTTATCTGGCAAAATTCAGCAGTTTCTCAAGTATTAGTTAGGACTCCTCCAGGTGCCGTTTGCACAAAGGTACAGTTTTTCATTATGAACAAGATGTCAGATAGCTACAAAACCAACCATCATGCCTAATTTACAGAGGTAAAGTCAACTCTCAGTGTGAAAACAGTAACTTCTAATTGCTTTGCTTACAAAATCCACACATGCTTTTAAAAGTAACTTCTGTTGCATGAGTCAAGGCCGTGCATCTAGAAGTTTGCAAATTATTCTTTAAAACTCAGATCGATACTCACACAAAAAATAAGAATTCACCCCCGCATTCATCTAACTTGCCTGTCAGACTGAGGTATCAAACAAGTGAAAAGGTATAAATTAGCATCTCCAAAAGAAACCCCAGAAAGGCAAGAAGCAGAGCTTTACAAGATGCTTATCTATGCCATTGCCTTCAGAAGAAACACTGGGGGAAGGGCACGCTAAAATGGAAAGGCAAGAAAATCTTCTGAAACTAAACAGACTAACAGGCAGGGAAAAGGGATATTAGCTGAATCATGGCACAAACTACGTGACATAGAAAAGAGGGAGCATGTTTCTCTCCTTTAGAAATCACACCTTTATTTTCCACAAACAATACTCCACGTTATTCTTATTAGGTAGCTATCACATTATTTTATGAAAGGAAGATCTATCTCGACAAGTTCTTTTGAGGGAAGAGATCACCTTCTCGTGATTCTCAGTAGTTTTTGTTTGCTTCTGCTCTCCCCAATCCAAGTCTTTTCCTTCAGATGAAAAGTACCTGAGCTGAGAAAGATCAATCCTTGAGGGCAATGCCAAGAGAGAATATAATTAAACCTAAGCTACTTCATTCAGCAAATCGCTATTGCTCACTTTTTATTGGAGTGAACACAGACAGCATCCTCCCATCAATTGTTCAATCTGAAGGACTGTTCCCTTGACTAACTGCAAAAATTTGGGGGGGGGAGGGCGGGGAGGGAAGAAAACTCAAAGATGATGAACAGCATTGAACTCTGTTGATTTCTCCACTTTGTCCTTTGACTCAATCTTCAAGCCTCAACGAAGTGGGGTTTTTTCCTCTTTTTGACTGAAAAGGTAAAAAACTTGCGACTCTTTCATCACTCTACATTCTTGTGTATTTGCATAGTGGTATTTTGCCATCAGCTCATAGAAAGAACAAGCGACTCTCTTGTTGAATTGCTGTACGAATCACCTGGCAGGGGTTTGCCGAACTGACAAGCATAAAAACCCCAGAAGCTTCAAGAACATCAACTGCCCCCAAGATGCCAGTAAGCCTAGGTTTAACATGAGTAATGTACCTTGGTCTGACTGGCCCCGCATTGCACAGAGAAAGCATGATAGAAGCACTCAGGATAAGGGAGTGATACACTTGCTAGAAGTAAGCTCTGTGGATTCTCAAGAAATGGAGAGAACACAAAAAATCCCAGCCCTATCACATTATAGCATTGTTTCAGAAGTGGTTGGTTGTGAAAGAAATTAAATTTTAAGTCCTTTTCTCAATACTTCCTGTGCGATGAGACAATCTGCTCTACAGGGATTTCCTCCTTACCCTTCAAAAGCATTGTCCCCAAATTTTTAGTTCCAAGTCTGACCAAGAAATACCTGAAGAGAAGTTCAGACAGGCTCTATCATGATTTATTGGTTGCAAGAAAGAAGATCATGAGACTTCTGAGAGAATAAAGTATTACTTTCTACAGTATCACAAAATGCTACAGCCTATAAACAAACCTTTTTAAATCACAACTTTCCTTAGTGAAAAGAGAAAGACTAACTAAAATTAGTTCCAAGCCTTAAAAACTGTATTTTTCACGCCCTTAGAATAATGCTTCAATTTTTAAGACATCAGTCTCCTGTGGGTTGAATACTTACAGAAAAGGGGAAAATGAGAGCACTCTGAAAAACAGGAAAAAAAAAAACAGATACTGATTTCTGAAGTATTTTGAGTAAAACCATTAATTCTTTAGAACACAATTCCCAAAAGGGCATTTAAGAGAGTCCTTTCAAGCTTATATTTCCTTACACCTGAAATACGCTACCTTACATAGCATTCTGATACCTTGAGAATTTGTTTCAGCACAAGTCTAGAAGCACCATGTTTTCATGTTCTCTCTCTAAAACAGATTGGTTAATATCAACCAATGCTTAACATCAACATTTGAAAACATTCACAGCAAGAGAGAAATGAAATGTAGCAACGATTATGTCATCTGTGTTAGGGATGTACCATTTCCTTGGAGCAGCCTACAATTCCTGCACCGTAAGCAAACAGAAGCGCACAAACCGAACATCGGCTCTCAGAACGATTACATGCAGGTTTCTCCCGGCAGCAATGCCAGCTCAAGCAGCTCCTGCTCCCCTCAACTTCGGGGTGCCTGGACAACTGCGCACAGGGGAGAGCAGACCAGGAGAGCGACTGGCATAACACCGATTTTTTCCGGCTGAGCTCCTTCTTTCCTTGATGCAGTTCAGTCGCGCCCTTCAAACATCGCTGCGAAGAGAATGAGCTGCCAGTGACCGCAGCTGCCTCAACTACACCTGCTACCAAAAGAAACGCATAAGCGGGCTTACTTCTGGAAAGAATAAATTATATTTATAGAAGTGTTTGCAGAACTCCAATCAGGTCGTTCGTTTGGTGTTGTTTTTTTTTTTATAAAATAAGGAGCAAAAGGAGGAAAAGAAGCTCTAGCTACGCATACAAAAAAGGCTTGCCTTTACTATTTCAGACAGAAGAAGAATGTGAAATTACGACCGTTTTTAAAATCAGTTTACTTTAAAGGCGTATCTTACATTTCTAGCCTCATAACGACAAAAGTAAAAAGGTATAACCTCCTCATCGCAAACCTGATGGAATATAAAACGCAACAAGCTGGTTGCTGACTGCAAGAGTCCACCGTTAGCCTTCGAAATAAACGAAACAGCCTCCGGTGGATGACCGAAGGTGCTTGGGAATCACTGCCGCCGCCCGGAACTTCAGCAGCCTCCCACGCTTGTTTGTTTTGAAATGAAAGGAGCGGCACGACGCCCGGACCA